TAAAAGTTTCGCCATTCATCCTGGGGATAGAAACTTGAGGAAGAGTTGTAATTTGAATTCAAAGGCAATCAGTTCACGGAATTCCTTTCTCCTTAGGAGAGAGCTTTTGTTCTGTTAAGACCTTCAATTGACTGAATGAGGCCCTCCCACAGTACAGAGGGTAATCTGCTTTACCTAAAGACCTCTGATTTAAATGTTAATCTCATCTAAAACCTATTTTCACAAAGCACACAGAATCACTTTTGACCAAATAGCTGGAAGCCGGTTGGCCAAACTGACACATTACCTTTACAAGTTGGTCTCTGGTCAACTCACGTCCATCTCCGTAGGTGTCCCCTTAACATATGCCTGGTTTCTGAGTAAGGAATACTAAGGGCATATGTCCACATAACATCATCCATCCAAAAATGCACTAACCCTTTCCCAAGAAGAATATGCAAAGTCCTTGGGTAGTGTTTACTTTTCTCCTTGTTAACCAGTAGCATAAATACTACGATGATAATACATAAATATTATGTTATAAATTCAGTAAATTTTATGTTACATGATAAGGGAGTGGGAAAGAACAAAAAATTATATATAATATATATTCTCTATATAGGTAACCAGTTGTCCCAGTATCACTAATTACAAAGAGCTTCCTTCCTCTCATTAATTGCTTTTATGCTTTGGATGCTAACCAACTGACCATAAAGGTCATATAAATAGAACATATAAGTCTATTTTTGGATTCTATTCAGTCCCTTTTATCGATTAATCTGTTCTTATGTCAATACTACACCTTTGTTGTTGTTGTTGTTGTTGTTGTTTTTGAGACAGGGTCTCACTATGTAGTTGAGACTGACCTGGAACTCACTATGTAGCCCAGGCTGGCCTCGAACTCACAGCGATCCTCCTGCCTCAGCCTCCGGAGTGCTGGGATTACAGGCATTCGCCACCATGCCTGGCTACACTATTTTGCTTATATAAGCTTTGTAGTAAGTCTGAAGTCAGGTAATAAAAGACCTTTAAGCTTGCTCTTCTTTTTCAAGATTGTTTTGGCTATTCTAGGTCCTTTACACTTCCATATAATTTTAAAAATCACCTTTTCAATATCTATTTTTAAAAAGCCTGCTGTAATTTTGATTTAGAGTGAGTTGAATCTGTAGCTAAATTTGATAACATCTTAACACTAGCAAGTCTTCCAACCCATGACATAGTATAAATATCCATTTATATAAGTCTTCTCTAATTTCAGCAAAGTTTTGTAGTCTTTAGTATAGAGGCCATACTTATCTTTTGTTAAGTTTGTTCTTAAAATGTTTATGCCATTTTGTTAGTTTTAAAAATTTTACTTTTCTAATTGTTTAGTGCCAGTGTATAGAAACATAACTAATTTTGATATGTTGACCTCATGGCTGGAAACCCTGCTGAATTCTGCTATTTTACTAAATCTTTAAAAATAAATTACTTACAATTTTTTTATAATTGTCATCTGTAAATAAAGATAGTTTTACTTCTTTCTAAATTTAATGCTTTGATATATTTCTTTACTGTATTGCCTGGGAGTTATCACTATATACATGTTAGACTAAGAAAACATCAAAAATATTGAAAACATCTGGTATAATATAATATTTTCACTCTGAAAAAAATGTTGTCACATTCTAATAAATTTAGACATAGGCTTCCTTTATTATGACATAGGAAACCTTAAGGCTTTTCCCCAAAAGAAATGAAAACATAGATCCTCAAAAAGTCATATACAAAAGTTTATAGCTTTTTTATTCAGAATAGCCCAAATCTTAAAATCTAACCATTTATAGAGGTATACATTCTGTTATATTCATACAACAGAGCATTACTCTACAATGAAAGAACAACTACTAGTACATGCAACAGTATGAATAAATCTCACAAAAATCTGAGCAAAAATGGACATGAAAGTTCATCATATTTATAAAATTTCTAGAGCAAATCTTTTTTTGAGAAAAAGTCAGAAGATTATCTCAATATGGACGGACTTGGAAAAGCACACAGGGACCTTCTGGAGTGGTAGTAATGTGCTGCACCTTGGTAGACTTATGGGATATAAGTATATATATGCCTTTTTAAAAACTAAGAATTGTATGCCTAAATTTGTGTATTTCTCTGTAGGTAAATTTTACTTCAAAATATTGTCAGTAAGTATTGAATTGTAACTTTTTTTTCACATTCGAACTGATAGGCTTGCTTTTCTTGCAGTGTATGTTAACGATTCTGAAACTACCTTCTGTACCATTTAAGAGTTAAGCAAATGATTAATTCTAATGAAGATAAAGGGGAGAGGGCTGGGGCTTTAGCTCAGCAGTTCAGTGGCCTGCCTTGCAAGTGCAAGGACCCAAGCTCATTCCCCAGTACAAAAAAAAAAAAAAAAGAAGGTAAAGGGGAACCAGATTTCCATTGAGGAAAAGAAAATCATACTTGTGGAAAGAGAGGACACAACCGCATCTATGATTTTTGGTTGGAATTAAAAGTGTATTTAAGTGCTGAGGGAGAGAGAAGAGGGCAATAGTCATTTGTCCAACTAGGAGGTCCTAGAAGTAATGACAGACCATTAGCATTTTAGGTTTACAATATAATGGTACATTTTAGGTATACAATATAATGGCACTCATCATTGGGAATTTGTGACTTTACATTATCCATCTTGGTTGTTGTTTTTTTTCCCCATTCCCCTGCCCTCCCTTCAACCCCTCCACCCCTCCCTATTTACAAAGACTTTCTTTCCATTTTTCTCATTTTCTCATATTAATTCCATTCCCTTCTTTCCTTTCCCCTACCTCTCCCACTTTCCCTTCTCCTTCCCCTTTACCCCTCTGCTTTCTTATTTATTTATTTATTGGTACCAGGGATCGAACTCAGGTCCTTCCCCTTGCAAGGAAGGTAATGGCACCACTGAGCTAAATCCCTGGCCCTTACCCCCTTTTCTATTTCACATCATCTATTATACCTTTTTTGTCCTTATTTACACTTTCGGTTTCTCACTCCAGAGAAACTATTCGGTACTTACCCACGTGTGTCCTGTTTCTTTCACTTGAGTATGTCCTCAATATGCATCCATTTAGCTATAAATGTCTCTAATTTCTTGCTCTTTGTGGCTGAATAGTACTCCATTTTATATAAAAACCAAAATTATCCAGTCTCCAGTTGACTGGGCCACTATAAACACGGGTGCGCATATATCACTGTGGTATGATTCTTTTAATTCTTTTAGGAAGATACCCAGCAGAGGAATAGCTGGGTCAAATGGGACTTCCAATCCTAGTTCTTTGAGGTATCTCCACACTGATTTCCACCGTGGTTGCCCCAGTCTGCACTCCCACCAGCCATGGAGCAGGGTTCCTCTTTCCCCACAGCCCAGCCAGTATTTGTTACCGATTGACTTCATGACAGCAGCCATTCGAATTTTCTGGGGTGAGGCGGAATCTCAGTGTTGTTTTCATTTGCATCTCTGGAATAACCAATGATGTTGAACATTTTTTCATGTTTATTTGTTATTTCTACTTCTTTGTCTGAGAAATGTCTGTTCATTTCAGATGCCCAGTTTTGGATTGGCTCTTTAAACTTGGGAGGTCTGATTTTTTGAGTTCTTTATATATTCTAGAGAACAGACCTTTGTCAGAGGAACAGCTGGTGAAAATTTTTTCCCACATTGTCGGTTGTCTCTTCACACTGTTGGTGGTTTCTCTCACTGTGCAGAAGCTTTTTAATAAGAACAGATCGCGCTTGTTGATTGTAGGTGTATTTTAGTTTCTCTTCATTCATTTTATCTTCTCTACTCATATGTATATGTATGTATAATAAATGCAGCACTGATCTTGGAATCTGAAAAACTGACTCTGTCATGACTTAGAATTTGTCCTCTATTTTCAATGCCCATCATTCATTTACTCATAAAATATTTGCTGTATATTTATCACCCAGTGTGCTAATGGTAGGCATACAGTGCAGTTATAACCATAAACAGGTCCTTATCTCTGCTCTCATAGCTCACGGTCTGCTGGAGAGAGAATCCCAGGGTGATAATACTGTACTAAGAAGAACAGGTACATTGGTAATACATCAAAAGGCCTCTTCTCTTTTTCCTGCATTCATTATTTGAGTATGTCCGGGTTTGGTCCTTTTCATTTACCTTGTTCTAAAGAGCCCACAGTTTGCTCTATCTCCTGAAATTTTCTAGCTGTTCAAGCACCCCGACTGTAGCCTCCACCTGGGCATTTGACATTTGTTGTTCAGCTACATCTAGGTGCGGCCAGAGGCCGCCAGAGGAATAAAGAATTACCATATCCACAAGATGGCAGTGTTGTATAAGCATTGAAAAACCCCGCTCCCACACAGGTTCTTGAAGGTAAACCTCTCAAGTAACATATTTTGTCATCTACTAGGTGGATGTATATTTTTGTATATTTTCTTAATCTTCAAATGAATTAGAAGTTTAGTTTACAGGGTATTTTGCAGCCCTGAGATGCATGTGTTTGAGAATTTAAAAAGCAATTTCTTTGGAGTAAAAGAAAAAAAATCTAAATTCAAGTATAAGGTGCCACCTGGACTCCTTTAGTGCACTTGGACAAGTAAGATCTTTGGACCCCAGCTGACCTGTCTAAAACTTTAAAACAATAAAATTACTTTCCTTATTAAATCATTTAAATGAGATGTGATATACAGGTATAAATAGTATTGTATATTGTGCTGTAGACAGTAAGTAGTGAGAATGATTATTGCCTTAGCATGTGAAAATCAATTGGCATATGCCCTGTGAAAACTCAGTTATCTTCACTTGTTTAGTAGAAAGGTTCTGCAGCCTTTAGAACAGTCTAGAGATTTTGATTGCTATTTCCAGTGACACATTTAAAGGCCTTTTATGACCTTGCGAAAAGAACGGTCTATATAAAAAAAAAAATCAGTTGTGATAGTGTCATAGTTGTCATACTTTTGTTATTTTGAGCTTTGGACAATAATTGTGAAGTTCTTATTTCAGCTGACAGCTGATCTCCTCCCACCAGGGAGGTTAGAGAAAGTCACCTTGGGCTTGAATTGCCTAATAATAACAGCAGCAAGGTATATTTCTGTGAGGTTTGTGACTTAAACAAAGTGCTCTCACGGATGCTATTTCAACTAGGGCAGAGGCCTTGACAGCCAGTGATGTAGCGGGAGACAATCAAGTGTAAGAAGGATAACAACTTGAAACTCTAAACACCATCAGGACTTATCAGAATATGAGCTCTGTGTAGGTTAGAGGAGCTCACAGGTAGCAGGAAGAGGCCTTAAGCCCAGCATTTGCCTAAGAGCATGAACTGAAAGCAGTTTCAGGAGTTCAGGTCAGGTGACAGTCCGGTGGGAAGGAAGAAGGGTCTGGAAAATCCGGTAAGTGACTAAGATTGAAATAGATCAGTGGACAGGAGAACTCAGTACTGATGAAGCAGAAATAAGCTTCACTGCCTAGGAAGCTTGGCTAGTGGAAGGAAACTGATGGAGGTGAACAACTGAGATCAGGTAGACAGGATCAGGAACCCAAGGGATGGAGAAGGCTGGGTTTGAAACTTAAACGTGGAAAAGATCGGTGTCAGCTGTCAAAGATGCACAGCTGGAAACCAGAACCCAAACCCTGATGAAACAGCAAGTTGTAGAATTTAGTTTTTGAGAGCTAGCTTAGCTGCAGATGGGAAAACACGCTGAAAACAGGATGGTTTCAGTCCAATGTAGGTCTGCGAGGTAATAACCAGTAATTTTCCAGATCTAGTTCCAGAAGAGCCCGGAGAGGCAATGAGGACTGGACAGGACATTCTACTGTGAGGGTGAACAGGCCTGTGTCATAGAGGGGTGCTGTGGAATGCAGGGGATTCTGAAGAGGTGGTGCTCCTGGGTAAGTCTATGCTTGTCAGAGCGTCAGCATCCTTACACACGATGTGAACACAGCAATAGCTGCTCACCTAGTTCTTTTACTGGTTAGGAAAGACACAAGTTAGTGTGCCATAAAATACTCAATGAACTGTAAAGGGCAGTGTCAATACAATTTGACTTTTTTTTTCTATCAAAGATTGAGTCCAGGGATCCCCTACCACTGATCTACACATCCCAGCGCTATTTTTATTTCGGAACAGGGTTTCACTAAGTTACCCAGCTTGCTCTCAAATGCGTGATCTTCCTGCCTCAACATGAGTAGCCGGGATGACAGATGTTTGCCACCACGCCCTCCTCAGTTTGGCTTTTTTATGCATTGTGGATTAGTGCCCTACAATCCAAAGTTCTCTTTCTGTCCAGCTTCTTTTTTTCTTTTTCGTTTTCTTTTTCTTTTTTCTTTTTTTGATGCCGGCGACTGAAAGACCTTGCACTTGCGAGGCAGGTGTGGCTCCATTGAGCTAAATCCCCCACCCCCTGTCCACTCTTGAACCTGATTCTGTCCATGGACTGCAGCAAGTGTTCTGCAGCAGAGTTGGCTTCAGTGAGGATCAAATTGCGTGGTTGCTACATTTTCTGTGACAAGTATCGGGGCCGTCTGGCATTTACATGAAGTATTGGGAGTGAACAGGATGGGTTCTTAGGACCAGCTCTCCTCGGGAGCAGCAACTCAAATTATCTTCCAAATTTAGTCACACAAAGAAGAGTAGATCACTATAGCTAGCAGTAATGAGTCACAGCGAGCACAGTTTCATGCCCTTGGTGATGAACAATGCAGAGGAAGAGAATGGGCTGCAAAAAGAAAGAGATTTAGAAATTACAGAAACTCCAAAGCACTTCAAAGTCTTCCAAATTAAAACAAAAATAGCTAACACAAATGTCCCAAAAATGCTGTGCATGGCAGCATATATTCAGGAATTCATGGTTAAAATAGAACTTTTAAAAATAATATAATTTGATTATCTAAATATTGCCAGGCCTGTTTGACCTGAGCAATAGGAGTTGGGTGTGGGATGCAGGCCAGTTTCAGTATTTCAGTCAGTGAGTGTGTGTGTGTGTGTGTGTGTGTGTATGTGTGCGGGCCTCTCAAGTCCTGGCCTTTGTAGGTTTTCAATGAGGAAAAGGGAGACATCAGTGATGTGCACTTCCTTTTTGTCAGGACCTATCTCTGTCGTGTTATATACCACATGGCTCAGTGCTCGCTTCAGAGAAATGAGTTGAAGTCACAGGCATTGTTTGAGAGTATTTCTGAGAGGGAGGAGAGAGTGGAAACAGTATTAGAAGAGGCCATGAAGCAAACTGCTGGATCTTCACTGCTGATTCTCACTCCTCTACTGTGCCGGGGGATTAAGGTCTTTTTCTGCTTTCCCTCTATGAAAATACTAGCAAGGATTTTTTTTTTTTTTTTTTTTTTTTTTTTTTTTGATGTTGTTTGTAGTTGAGACTGCCCTGGAACTCACTATGTAGCCCAGGCTGGTCTTGAACTCACAGCGATCCTCCCGCCTCAGCCTCCTGAGTGATGGGATTACAGGCATGCACCACCACGCCTGGCTACACTATTTTGCTTATATAAGCTTTGTAGTAAGTCTGAAGTCAGGTAATATAAGACCTTTAAGCTTGCTCTTCTTTTTCAAGATTGTTTTGAGACAGGGTCTCACTTTGTAACCCAGGCTGGCCTTGAACTTGCAGCAATCCTTCTGCCCTCCTGCCCTCTGAGTGCTGGACTTATAGGCGTGCACAGCACCATGACTGGCTATATTTTGGCTTTTATTTTATTTTATTTTTTTATTTTTGGTTTTTTGAGAAAAAGGTCTTGCTGTGTAATTCAGGCTGGCCTTGGACTCCCTATGTAGTCCAGACCAGTCTTGAACTTGAAGCAATCCTCTTGCCTCAGTCTCCCAAGTGATGGGATTACAGATGTGCACCACCAAACTCAGCTATGACTTTTAAAAGATCACTGGGTAGTAAACATATGGAACTTACAGATCTTTAGAATCAGAAACCACACCAGTTAAAGGAATAATAAATTCAAAGAATGAAATTAATTGAAATAAATTATAGTTAATGATTCCCTAAAAACTAAGAGATGCCCGCAGAATGTCTCAAATGTATTTGAAATTGCTATCATAGATGCAACAATCCACTTTAACAAAAGCCAGTGAACACTGCAGAGGGAGAGAACAGAGACTGAGAAATGAAAGGGACCTAAAATTTATTGTCACAGCTGAGTGTGGTGGTACATACCTGTAGTTTGCATACTTGGGAGGCTGAGGCAGAAGGATAGAGAATTTGAAGGCATCCTGGGCTACATGAGCATAATGAAACCCCATCTCAAAAAATAAAACAACAACAAATCCCAGAAATTGCTGTTTTTGGCAAAGGCTGGAAAACAGATGAAATGAATTACCAATCTGACCCAACAGCACATTTCTGATGCTCTGTTTTCCATTATTCTAATAACTCACTTACCAGTCTTGACTATGCACAAGAACAGTTACACACCTGGGACCTCATTTGACTTCTTCTAAGTCATTGTCTTTTTCTACTTACTTGTACCAAACATCTCTAGAGATGGCAGGCTCCCATCTAAACTTATCATGCATGCCCTCACCATTTTACTCAAAACGCACTCTGGTTACTAGCGCCTTTTCTTGAACAAATACTGTGCCTTTAAAAAAATTATTTTTTCAATCCATCTAGACCTCTCGATCAACCTTAGAAGTTATCATGACTGTCCTGTTTGTGTTCTACCCTTTCCAAATTTTCTCTCCCTTGCTTTCTTTTTTTTTTTTTTTTTTTTTTTTTTTTTTTGTACCAGGTATCGAACTCACGACTTTGGGCTTGCAAGGCATGAAGCGGCACCACTGAGCTAAATCCCTGGCTCAAGACACTTCTTAGAGTAAGGCACAAATGATATGTGTGAAAGCACTCTGTATAAATTTCACTTAAAATTTGATTAATGAACTAGATTAACAATTATTGAACTAGATGATTGCTAAATTTCTCTCAAGGTCTAAAATCTTTATTTAATATATTTTTAGTGAATTCATCTGATCTAGGAGCCAGCAATTGCATTTTGGTACTTTTAAGGCTCATTCTATTATACCAAAGCTGCTGCTGATTGAATAAGTACAGAATGATTTGTGATTTTAAAACAGCAGCATCAAAAACAGGTAAGTCTTTAATCACTTAGGCTGAATGTTACTGCTAATAGTACATGGATTTTTAAGGAGAAAGTTGAGTCATAGCCGCCATCTAAAAACATAATTTCCGGCCAGGGATTTGGCTCAGAGTTTCCACCACCTGCCTCACAAGCCCAAGGGCACCAGTTCGATCCGTGGTACCAAAAACAAAAAACAAAAAACAAAAAAACCCATAATTCCTACTAACAAATTTAAAGATAAAATGAACCCAACTGAAACATTTGCAAAGGCTGTGGCCACTCATCCAGCATTTCAGAATATTGCCATGCTAGAATCGTGACTAAAGCTGGAGGGAACAAATGAGGAAACATACTGTCTGTCTGTCTGTCATCTCAAGTATATATCTCATATATACATATCTATGTAAGACCGTAGATACATAGATATGTAAAAATCTCAACGTTAGAAGCATTTCTAAAAGTCAGGGGGTCCCAGGAGTAAGATTCTGGGCGCTTACAACAGTTCCAAAAAACAAAACACTGAAAAAGGAGGTCAAAATGTGTTGACTTTTTACTTTGCCAAATAAAGTTGTTTTAAAGACAAAATCAACATTTATCACCAGCATCACTTTATAAAAAGACATTTTAATGATATACATGCAAGAAAATAAAACATCACAATAAAGACAATGTGAAATTACATAAATGAAAAACCATACATTGCTCTCATTTTTCTTGTATCTTTAAGGAATATGTTGTTACACCTGCACCTGTCCATGTCCACAGTTCCTTGGGCATCACCAACTTACTCTATGCTTCCCTATCCTACCACGCCAATCAAGAATTTGTATCACTAAAACCAAAGTCCATTTAAATGTGTACACCATGCCCTATGGAGAATTCCTCAAGAAAAAGGTATTTATTAAACTATGAATGACTGAAAGAAAGTCAGCAGGATACGAACTATTCTCCAGAAAACTTAAGATTCTTGAACGTGGCTTAATTTTTCTTTTTACAGTTTTCTTTCACATCCCCCTTTTAGTACTAGAAATGGCTCCCAGGGTCTCGACACTCAGCTCAATCCCCAGCTCTTTCCTTATTTTTTATTTTGAGCCAGAGTCTCGCTAAATCGCTACATGGCCCAAACTGTGCTCGAATTTGGTATTCTTTTTGCTCCCAATTCCCAGAGTGCTGAGATTTCAGGAGTCCCCACCACACGAAGCTACTTTTTTTTTTTTTTTTTTTT